GGATGATGAGAACCAAGGTGATGCCACCCAGGGGACAGGACAGTGAGGAGCAGAAGTGATGTCACCCTGGGGTGCAGGATGATGAGAACCAAGGTGATGCCACCCTGGGGTATAGGAGAGTGGGGAGCCAGGGTGGTGCCACCCCAGGGTGCAGGACGGTGGGATGGACAGGAGAGAGGGTAACAGGGGTGATGTCACCCTGAGGTGTGGGATGATGAGAACCAAGGTGATGCCACCCTGGGGTATAGGAGAGTGGGGAGCCAGGGTGGTGCCACCCCAGGGTGCAGGACGGTGGGATGGACAGGAGAGAGGGTAACAGGGGTGATGTCACCCTGAGGTGTGGGATGATGAGAACCAAGGTGATGCCACCCAGGGGACGGTACAGTGGGGAGATGGGGTGATGCCACCCTGGGATGCAGGGTGATGAGAGACGAAGGTGACGACACCCCGGGCTCACGATGGTGGGGACCCAGGGTGATGTCACCCTGGGTTGCAGGATGGTGGGAACCCAGGGGATGCCACCCAGGGGACAGGACAGCAAGGAGTTGGTGTGATGTCACCCTGGGGTGCAGGATGGTGGCCACCCAGGGGACAGGATGGTGGGGAGCCAGGGTGATGCCACCCAGGGGACAGGACGGTGAGGAGCAGGAGTGATGCCACCCAGGGGTGCAGGATGGTGGGAACCCAGGGGATGCCACCCAGGGGACAGGACAGTGGGGAGCCAGGGTGATGCCACCCTGGGGTGCAGGATGGTGGCCACCCAGGGGACAGGATGGTGGGGAGCCAGGGTGATGCCACCCAGGGGACAGGACAGTGAGGAGCAGAAGTGATGTCACCCTGGGGTGCAGGATGATGAGAACCAAGGTGATGCCACCCAGGGGACAGGACAGCAAGGAGTTGGTGTGATGTCACCCTGGGGTGCAGGATGGTGGGAACAAAGGGTGATGCCACCCAGGGGACAGGATGGTGGGGAGCCAGGGTGATGTCACCCTGGGGTGCAGGATGGTGGGAATCCAGGAGATGCCACCCAGGGGACAGGACAGCAAGGAGTTGGTGTGATGTCACCCTGGGGTGCAGGATGATGAGAACCAAGGTGATACCACCCAGGGGCCAGGACAGTGGGGAGCCGGGGTGATGCCACCCAAGGGACAGGACGGTGGGGAGCCAGGGTGATGCCACCCAGGGGACAGGATGGTGGGGAGCCAGGGTGATGCCACCTTGGGATGCAGGATGATGACAACTAAGGTGATGCCACCCAGGCGACAGGACAGTGTGGGGCGGGAGCGATGTCACCCTAGGGGACAGGACCGCGGGGACCACTGTGGTGCCACCGGGGGTGCGGGACAGCGCGGCGGACCCCCCGCAGCTGTCCCCCCGCGGTTCGTGGCGGGGGGGCGAAGTGGGGGGGGCGGTGCCAGCGGGGCCCCGCTGCACAAAGGCGGCCGGTCTCCTCCGCCCCGGGGCCGC